CCTTCCTTTCTTCATTTATTGGCCTATGTCATAAGACAATAAAGTAATCAATTCAATCATAATATGACATTATTTAATTCTAAGTTAGGTAAGAATTTAACCAAAAAATACTTGGTAAGAATTATTTTATTTAACTTTGGTGAGAATATTAATTCTAAGAATGTGAAGATAAATGCAAGCTAAGACACAAGTGTAGAAAGATGCACATTTGATCCCATGCCAAAGGCAAAATAAACACCCCTTAATAACCTTAAAGTGTGTGTTTTCTAAATAACTCTCAACCTAGATTGAATTAAAGAAAACTAATTCCACCAATCATCTTGGCACATTAAAAGACATAATCTCAATGCTTAATGAAAGATTTGGAAAAAAATCACTTTTATACTTAAAATGTCCTTCAATGAAACTTACACTACAATTAGGCAATTTTGCACAAGAGATGCTTAGTAACTTAATTAAATGCATAAAATGGTTAGTTAAGACTATGAATATATGTAAATAATGAGTGTTATTAATTCTCCTATACTTAGCTTTTGTACTGTGGGTAAAATTAAGATCAAAAGACCTCACAACAACAAAAAAAGAAAAACAAAAGTTCCAAATTTCTAAATGAAAAGTATGTAAATCATTCATTTGAAACTCTCTCTAAAGGCGATAATGAGTATAATGAAATTATAGTACTCAATTGATAAAGATATAACAAATATGGCTCAAGAGAAATGACTTTCATAGAATGAAAGTAGTATGAACTTAAATTTTGTATCTCAATGATTTTTGAGATTGTTCTCGTGTTAAAAAAAGTTTTCAATGTTATATTTATAACCCATGAAGTAAAATAGTTGTTAGAAAAAAGAACTAGTCATTTATAGGCATTACAATGTGTGTATGAGAGAGAAAACTAAACAAAAGCACTTTTTTTATACTTTGTAAATAACTGATGTGGAATATTGCCTTTTCACATCAATTATAATAAAACCAACATGAAAGTATATTTCACGTCAGTTATGTTTGATTTCTCACTATAATTTTTTTTCACTACCCCTCATTAATCAACATAAAAAGTTCAAAACAGCTTATATAAAAAGTCCTTGCTATAATGTAAGTTTTTAAAAATAAGGGGAACTTTTGCCACATTTTATAAAAATTAAATGAAACCTTATAGTACATCAATTGTTTCTATTAAATTGAAGTTTTTTGGTGTTATATAGATAAATTTGAATATTTAGACTGTTGTGGGTTGATTTAGTTAACATTTCTATTGGTCTTGTATTAATTATATATTTTGGGAGGTCTTAAAAATAAGGGAAAACAAACAAAATAAAAAAAATAAAAAAACACTTACAACATCAGGTTTTTTTTTTTTTTTTTTACGAAAACTAATGTGTAAAACATCGATTATTTATTTGACAGACATTATAAGTTTTTTTCATGTTGGTTATATCATTGACATGGAAAGCAAACTTTCTGCTTCGGTATTTTTTATCTTTAAAAACTATTTTAGAGAAATGTTTAATTTTAAATCAAGCTCTCTTATACTCTTTACAAGAGATATCTAAAGGATTAAATTAAAGTAATAAAGCCTAGACACTAAATCTTCAACTCTTGTAATCTTCTAACTTGATTGTTTTGTCATTGAATAAACTTGAAGTCTTGCAAAACAACCATACCCCGGGCTTTGTTACTAAAACAAGTAATCCAACACACTTGTCAAAGCAAAGTCACAGTACGATTTCCTCTTTTTGAAAAATTTTATGATATCTTTACATTTCTATGTATTTTTTAATAAAATTCTATCTTTTATTTTTAGAAGCTAAAAAGTAATAATTTTTTAAATAAATAGAAATTTAATTTATATATATATAAATTTTTTTTCTTACTTTCAACATGCTAAACAATAGTATAAAATTTCACAAAATTTATTTTTCAAAAAAAATGAGTGACTTTTTCATGGAAAAAGCTTAAACAAATAGACTTTAAATCAGGATACAAAGATTACTTGAAAAATAAACCAATCAGTGAATATGCAATACGTATAAATAAAGGAAGAAAGATTAATTAATTAAGGCAATGGGATCAATGAGAATTCACAATTGGTGACCTTCTAAAATTCTCAAACAACACAGCCTTGGATGGATTGTGTCGTTCAATAAGCTAAGCATGATTTAACAACTAAATTAACCACATTGTTTTAATTTCCCCAATCGGTTAATTAACTAACACGGAACTAATCAAATTCTATATTCATAGTCCATACATGCAATTTATCCGTTTGGTTGTTGCCAACGGTTTGTTTAACCCCCAAAAATGTACTAGTTATTTAGCGAAGTTAGAAACAGTAAATATTGTGTTTAAAAAATAATGCTGGTCCCCTTTGTATTTTGCCTTTTCACATGTAAAAATATTGCAGAGTAAAAATGATTCTGTACTGTGCTTCATGAAAAATATAAAGAAATAATATATATATATATATATATAAGTCTTTTTAAAAGAAATTTTTGTTCAATTCCACATAACTTTTTAAATTCAATGCCACAATTATTGATATTTTCTGCTATATACTTATTATTTATAATATCAATGTATCATTTATGGGTGCACTTTTTTCTTTATTTTTCTATTAATTATAAAATAAATTAAGAGTAAATTTGATAATATAAAAAGAATTTTTTTCGTTTACATTATTTTTTAATTTGTATAAAGATATCATAAAAAACCTCTATTGTGAAAGTATAATATATATATAGATATATATTCAAATATTTCGTCCATTCTTATTTATAAGTTATATTTAACTGATAACTCACATATATAAAATAATTCAATTAAAATTTGTTGAGTTAAAATTATTCCATCATTTCAAAAATACTCGTAATGAAATGCAACGAACTATAATATAATAAATTTTACACATATCTTTTCTTTTTGCCATAGTTACTTATCAATAATATTCATATAAGGATAATGTTGGAAAGAAATATCAATTATACTGCTTGTTAAATTTTGAAAAAATAAATTATAAATAAGAACAAGAAATTAGTATATTAAAAAATAATTCCAAATATAAATGTTAATGATAAATGGATATTTTAAAAAAAAATTGCATTGTTGTCCAACTAGAGAGAAAACTATTATATGAATTCATAGAAGCAAGATTTTTATTTTCGATGTAATAAGCATGAACTATTTATGACAAGCATCATGCATAAACTATTATTATTATTATTATTATTATTAATTGTCTTAATAAGCATGAACAGTTGTGTAATATCCCTTAATATTAATACTGTTGATTTAGAATTGATCGCATATTGATAAGTCGAAGCAAAGGACCCAATGCTGGTAACGTATCAGAAGAACCTATGGTCTTCCTTGATTACAACTTACAATATAGCTTATGTATCCTCAAATCAACAAAGGAGAATTACAGTTAGGTTTTTCACAAATGAATTAATTACTGCAAACAGTTTAATTCATTCGTCAATGGAGCTTGTAGTAATTAATTTCCTTGTGTGGGGTTTCAATATAATTGTCCCAATCAACATTCTTTTCCTGCGAGACAAAGTTACTGTGCCTTTTTTTTTAAAAAATGATAAAATTAAAACCCATTAGAATGTTAATTACAGTTATAGATTTTGAATTATTAAAATTTCAATCATTGTCCTTATTTATATTTAAAAAATATAAATAATCAGTTGAAAAATCAATAAAATACACTTGAGATTATTTATAATATCAGATAAGAATTTACTATAGTTAGTTGTAAATAAAATTATCAAACTTACAAGTTTAAAAAAAACTTATTACTCGAATCGTAAACTCTTACGAGTTTACTTTTATTAATAAATAATCATTAAAAGTATATAATTAAATAATTAAAATATAAAATATGAGCATAATTAATTTAAATATATTTTAAATATAAATTATTGAAATTAAATCTACTTATATTGATAAATTATCATACTAAACATAAAAATTTTAAAATAAGGCAAATTATTTGTGTTGTTTTCTTTTTTATCAATATTAATTTATGCTTTTTTAAGTTTTATTTTTCTTTTAATTGTGTCTTTATCACTTCTGTGAAGCGAGTTCTATATAATATATGTCTAATTTGCTCAACTCAATTTAAAATTGACAAGCTTAGCAAATTTAACTGATTGCATCTAATCTAAGTTTATAAGTAAGTTGATATGATTTTATAAACTAAAAATGTGAAAATGATAAATTTAAAGAGTTAACTCGTGAGTTTAACTAAGTTTCATATAATCTAAGTTTATGAATGAATTAACATAATTTAATGAGATAAAAACATAAAAACGATAAACTTGGAAAGTAAACTCGAGAACTTGACAACTATAATTGTAAATCTTGATTTTTTACTATCAATATATGGATAAACTGTTTGAGGTTATTTGTAACATTAGTTAGAAATTTACAATAATTAGTTGTAAATTACAAGTCTTAATTTTTATTATTAATACATAAATAAATCACTTCAAAAATTTACAAAATATAGTTGTAATTATTTGTAACATCCTTGAAAATTTATAAGAGTTAATTGTGAAATACAAGCTAATCACATGATTTTTTTCTGTCATTATATAGATAAATTGTTTGGGAAATAAACAAAATAAAATACTTAAATTAGGAATTTACAAAAATTCATTGTGAATCTCAAGCAATCATCAAAAGATACTTTATTGCAAGTAAAAATCATAATTTGTTATTAATATTTCAATAATTCAGGGTCACTAATTATAATTAATATTCTTACAGGATTTTTAATTGTCATTTTCACTTTTCTATTTTTTTTTGGTTCCTAATAATACAAAACAAAATTAAAATGCAGCTCATCATTTTTTATTGGTTTTTTTCCCCTGGTCATAGATGGCTGGCCCCACTATTTTTGTGTACAAAAGCCAGTGCAATCCTCGTCTTTTTCTGGGGAAGATTTCGGAAAAAAAAAAAAAATAGCTTCGTTTCAAGCCAGAGAGCTCATCATGGAAGGAGACGAGGCCAAGGCATCTAACTCTCTGGATTCTGCAGGAGCCTCAACCTCTGAGCCTCGAGATGACAAAGACTCGGAGAACCCACACTCCCCTCAAACGACGTCGCGCAGCAGCAACTCCCAGTCGTCCTTCATCATGATGTCCAAAGTAATTCAACCGCAAGCTTTGAGTACTTAAATTATCTATTAATGAATTTTTTTGTAAATTTTTTTAAATATTTTTACTTGTTTTATTATTTCTTATAAAACATATAATCTTGTCTCTGTTTTTAAAATGTATTTTTATGAATTTTTGGATTTTTAATATCAGATTATCTATATTTCCAAGACTTTGTCTCTCCTTCTGTTATAAATAAGGTCTATATAAATATGAAGTTTCAGTATAAGAATTTGAGACTGAATTGAAATTAAAATGTAAGGTAAAAATAACTTTACATTTTAACTTCAATTTAACCTAGCTCTTGTAATGAATTTTATATTTATTTGAATCTCATTTATAATAATATCACATCCATGAAATTCTCCCTAATTAACTTCCCTTATTGATTGATTGGTTTGCAGGTGGTTTTGTTTATAAGACAGATCCAACCACTCAAAAACCACTTGAGAATTCAAGGGACAGGGGTAATATTTTTCTTAAAAAATATTTGTATAAAATAGATTAAACTACAAAATACCCAAGGTTTTGATATTCTTAAATCAATAATAATATATGGGCGCTTATTAATTTTATGAAAGATGTTAATCTTTTTTAATTGTTAAAATAATTTGACATTAATTGTTAAGTTTTAAATACCAAACTTAATTAATTGCAGAAGGTTAATTTCTTTTATAAAATTAATAAGTTCCTGTACATCATTATTAATTTGAGAATACGAGAATTTCCTGTAAAAAAACCTTTTTGTATGTTTTTGCATCTTAATGGAAATATGTATAGTATTTAAATTTTTTCTTTTTTGAGTCTTCATCAGATATTGCCCTAGCAAGAGTTGAATCGGAAAAGAGATTAGCCTTCATTAAAGCGTGGGAAGAGAGTGAGAAAACCAAGGCAGAGAACAAGTAAGACACCATCTCTTAGACTGAAATTATAATATTTGGTCCCGATCCAAATTTTAACAGATCTTTAGTTCTTTACCAATGAATCATAATTGTTTAAATACTTTAGGGCAGTTTGCGATCATTGAGTTATTTTTTTTTCACAATATTTATTATTATACACTTGTAATTATTTGGTATTAAACAATTTAGATCCTTTTTATTATAGTTTTAAATTACAAATACGGCATTTATTTTTTAATTTTTAAAACTAATTTTTATCCTTTTTTTTCCCTCTAATTCTTTCAATTTGACTGTCAAACAGGGCATGTAAGAAGCTCTCTACGGTTAACCTATGGGAGGATAGAAAAAAAATATCAATTCAGGCACAGCTCAAAAAGATTGAGGTAATTAAACTACAACTAATAAAGTAGTAATAATACTAATAACATTAATTTTATATATACAGCTTTCCAAATTCACAAGGATACCCTCATCTTTCATTGCCTCCAAATTGGCTATTTGATTTATTTAAAATTGCAAATGAAGTATATTTGAGTAGGTTGATTTAAAAGAAATATTTGAGTGTCAAAAGTATATAGATAACCACAGGGGTCTTTAGATCAATTGGCTAGAAATTGATCCCTTTTAATAGAGGTATCTAGTATGAGCCTAAAGGATGCACCAACTTTTAAATTTTTGGTGGAAGGTATATCCTATAAACATAAAGAAATGCTTGCAAGTCACTCACCAGATTAATGTGAGTCAAAGATCTAGGATATTATAGTCATATAAAGGTTTCTCACAAAGTTCTCTCTTTCCATGTCCCCAACTTTTAGAGTCAGTTCTTTACTGAGACAAAGGCAAATCTAGACCATCCAGATTTAATTTAAATGGTCCAGATTTAATATTTTTATTTTTTGTTTTAAATTTATATTTTTAAAATAAAAAATATATATAAATTGTAAAAAAATTTAATCAATATATTGATCAATTTGACAATTGAGATTTAATATGAATGGTCCAAATTTAATATTAAAAATATAAATTAACTTTTTAGATATATTGTGGATAGTGTAGATATATTCTGTGTAGAATAGTAAACTTATTAAAAAAATTTAATATTAAATTTGGATAATTCATATTAAATTTGAACTGTCAAATTAATAAGCTTATTTATTAATTTTTTTGCAATTCTCATATATTTTTATTTTAAAAATAAATATAAAAATATTAAATTTAAACCATTCAGGTTTGCTTCTGCCTCAGTGGAGAGGCAGAGGGAGGGAAGCCTCCTCCAACATTTAGTGATTCATATCCTTTTTATTTTTTGTGTCCTTGTTGACTTGTGTTGTGTGTTTGATTTCTCTTTCCTAATTGCTCTTCCTTTCAAATGTTACCCCTTCCTATCAAATAAACAACAATTTATATATATATATATATATATATATAATTATCCGGTATTTGCATAACTTTACTTAAATAAGTGAGTAAGTTTTAAACCCAATCATTTTCTAAAGACTAAAATGATAATTTTTAATTTGCTTGAGTTTGGTACTAAGTTGAGCCAATCTTGGACAAGTAAAACGTCAAAAAATGTTGGCCTTGTACTCTGTATGGGCTATTTCACAAGTCAGGTTAAAACTAATTAACTTAATTATACATAATCAGCTTTTATTTATCAAAAAAGTTATTTCAATTAGTAAGGATTTGAACTATAATTCATAAGGTGATCAACTACAACCCCTGTATATATCCCAATTTAGTTGAAAAATGCTTACACATTGCTCTTAACACATTAGGGGAGATATTCTCTACCATTGGTAGGGCCTACTCCTTTTGCTTTAAAAAAAAAAAAAAGAAGTTTTACTGTTGATATGAGGACCTTGTTGATGAAAATATAGAAGTACTACTATAAGTGTTCTCTGAGTGTGAAGGCTTGTCTAAGTGAACTCTTGGCATCTAACTCACTTAAACATTTTATTACCCATAAAACCTTCCATTTGAGTTCAAGAAATTATATAATATATAATTATAATAAGGAAAAAAGCTTATATACTTGACCTTATATACTTATTATGCTTGTTTACAATTAAATCAAGACATGTGGATCTTCTATAGATTATTTATTCTATAACAAATTATTATTATTATTATTATTTTTAACACGTTAAAATCCACACATCTTGATTTGATTAGATAAAATTATATATATTAAGTATGCAAGGCTAATTATATTACTCTTGTCTAGTATAATTTAATAAATATTAAAAAATATTTTTATAAAAATATTAATATAATTTAAATACAAATTATGCCTCCACTTTCATTTTTATGAGTACCTCATTCAAATCAAATGAGTAACTGTGAAGTGCGAGTCACGTTAAGTAGTGGATCTAATGCTATTATTTATTATTGTTGTTGTTGTAAAACCTCATGGTATTGGCAGGAAGGATTGGAAAGAAAGAAGGCAGAACAATCGGAGAAAATGAAAAATAAAGTGGCTGAAATTCATCAGTTGGCAGAAGAGAAAAGGGCAGTGATTGAAGCTCAAAAATTTGAAGACTATCTCAACGTGGAAGAAACTGCGGCCAAGTACCGCTCTCGAGGCTTTAATCCCAGAAAATTCCAATTACTCTCTTGCTTCACGGCCTATTTCTCTTAATTAATTATTGGCATAAAACTTACTATAGTAATAACAGTTATTCATGTGCTTGAACCTTGAACTTCAAAAGAGACCAATTTTAAGTCTTTTATATTATCATGTTTATTTTTTCTCTCTCCAATGTAATATGTCTTCTTAATAAATATACATCTATATTTGGGAACAACCCATTCAATATTTGATATTTATAATTATATTTCCGCTAATCCAAATTAAATTGGGTTGGACCTTAAATAAGAAGTTCCTTGGCTCGATGGACACGAGAGGCAGAAATAAAAGACATAATTTTAAATTTCTCATGAAAAGACTTTTAAAGAAAAGTTGAATTGAATGAGAAGTTTACACATTATTTTTGGCAAATTCTCATGTATCATGTGATGCACTCAAGGACTCCTATCTTGATCAGTATACAAGGAGATTGAAAGATTGCAACGTGATTTCATTTGGAGAGGCAACTCGGAGCATAGAATTAACATTCATATATGTTCAAAGTTGGGGCACTTTATGTGATTCTAAGGAGAGAGGGAGATATATATGATCTTAATATACAGACCATGAATGTAGTGTCACTTGTAACATCCATAGTATTTAATATGGAGTTTATTGTTAATTAAAGGAGAAATTAGTTTAAAAAATAATTAAATAATTTAATCATATTTTCGAGTTATTAATTGATATTTTGGATCATTGGATAGTTTTAAAGTCAGGCTAGGGTTGAAGTTGGGTCAAATCGGGACAAGACAGTTTGATACAAGTAAGACTAAGCTTATTGTTTTATGCAATGGCATAAGTGTAATGTCCACTTGACATTACCAAATTATCACACTAATTACACACAATCACAACCATAGTTTAAGTAAATCTCTTCAAGTTATCAAAATAAAAATTAATTATAATATTGAAAATATTTTTTTAAATAGTTTGGGATCCCAAAACTTTTCATTAACCATTGATAATCATTTGAAAATGCTTTCTTGCACAACGGATCGCCTATATAAGAGCTACATAAACATCACTTAGTGCAAAAACCCAAGCTAAATAAACAATTTCTAAAAAATGGCCAACGCCACAACATGTGGTATAGAGCCACAAGTTCTTTTTTTGTGTCATGCAACACGACGCACATGATGGTTTTTTGTTGTTATATTAGTTTGCAGATGTAAACTTTCTATATGTGCTGTTTTCACATACAATGTCCGATTGGGATGATTCAAGTACTTATACAAAGCTTATTTGATAAGCTATCTAATGAGAGAAGTTTGCACACGATCTAATAGCCCAACCTCAATTTGGACACTTGGGGTGCAAAAAGCCACTTTTCTTAAAAAAATTAAGCACCCAACATGTTCAAACTTCACATGTTGTTTCAATAAACCACTTTAGGCCTTGAACAAAGTCTAAAATGATCATTTACACCTAATTACACAAAATATCATCATATTCACAAGTACGATAAACTGCCCTTTTTCACACAACAAGGCCTATAATTCACAAATCTCACACGTAAACATAATTCTAGCCAATTTTCACATTCACACCCATGTTCACCCATTTACATTCTATCATAGCCCATCCATTTACATTTCACTACATGTCACGCATTTCCATACACATGGGCTAAGATTTCCACATCTACCACACATGTTAGACATAATGGCTTATGACATTATGTTTAGCTCAAGTTTTGATGATGACAAATATAGTTGAGTTAACTATACTTATGCTCAATTGTTTTCATATATATAGAGTAGTTAACTACGACAATGGAACAAGTATTTTAAAGTGTTTTTATTTATGTTGTTCCATATTACATTTGATTTGGAGAAATGATTTGTGTACATCAAAGTTATTTTATATTATCATATTTTTTCTTATTTTAAATTGATTCTATATCCAAAAGTGTTCATATTATTACCTTTCATAACTTGGATAAATGCATATTGACACTTGAACTAACCATCTTGTTCATGGTATATTATTTAAGGTGAAAGTGAAGATAAGAGTAAGCATGAAGAGGAACAAAGTTGAAGTCATCTTGTTTATCCTTCTTAAGCAGGCACCCCTCTACTCAATTCCTTAACAGGAATTGCCAGGGTGATAATGCAATTTGATTTCTCTTTATCTCTCAGTAATGAGAAGTAAAAGAAGTTAAGCCAAGGCCTCACTCCTGATCTTAGGAAGGAATGGAATAAGGCCTTGTCCGCTGATTCATAACACAAAGCTAAGCAAGGCTTCATTCCTTCCTTTAGGATAGAGTTAAGTAATGGAATAAGGCCTTGACCACTGAATAGAGTTAAGTTAAAGAAGTCATGAATACTTGAAGTCTAAACTTTGAAATGGCAATTGTGTAGAAAATTAGTTTTGATTTTTAGTCATGTTTCTTATCATATATCTCACTACATAAATCATTTTAATGTGAAACATATCTCATTTGAAAATATACTCCAACATCTTTTCAATAATAATTTATTTATTCAAAATAGAGTTTTATTGAGAAAAATATTAACTTTAGAAGTTGAGTATTGAGATATTGATTTTGCATAGCATTTAGTCTTGACCTTCATTCACTTTTTTAATCATATCTCAAAATTTACATTGAATTTGAGTGTGAAACTTATTTCATTGAAAAGTAGACTTATTTCCAATGACATATAATTTGTCAAATTTGGAATTGTATTAAGTGAGTTAGAGCATTTTGAAATTTGTATAGTGAACCCTCCAAATCACACGTGAGAGCAGCAAGGATGCATGCGTGGTTTAGCATCAGTGTCCAAATCACACATGAAACCCCTCTATATGCATGCATGAAATTGCACCTAAAAGCCTTGTTTCATATTAAATAGCCTCTGTGAGCCAAATCATGTGTGTAGCACCTTGTACACACTCATGAAATGACCTCCAGAGCCTTGTTTTTCATTCTATAACCTCTGTGGTCCAAAACATTCGTGATTTATCTTTTGGGCACTACCATATGCAATTTCTTGTGTGATTTGTCAAGTTCCTAAGCAAGATTTGTCATGTCTACATGTGAAACTCCAAAACACACGTGAGACACTTCCAAAACACGCATGACATGTCACCTTTACTTGTAAAACCTATAAAAACACATGTGATTTTGCTCGTGTTACTCACAAGATTTTGCATTAATGGCTATAATCACTTTGTAACATCTCTAAATGGTCATTTGATGTCTTTAATACTTATTTTACTCCATAAGCTATAAATTTAATACTCCAAACTGATCTTGACAAGAGATTAACCTCAGAAATTATCAAGCTATGAAATTCATGATCATATTACTCCTATTATATGAAAATCATTGTTCTTGAACTAATATCATCTATATCTTTATCATTTGAGTATTAGAGATTTATTGTACTCATCATTACTCTTAGAGATAGTTTTAATTGAGTGATTCACATACTTAAAACCTTTGTAAAGGTAAGGGAGAGATTTTTCTTGTAATCAAGAGAGGTTGTTCTTTAGGGAAAAGAAGCTTACTAGTGTACTGAGTTAGTGTAAAGGCTCATAAGTGCCTAAACCAAACTTGTGGTTGTACTATAGTAGCAAGCATTCACTCAACCTTATGTTATAGTGGAGAAATCTCAAGTAATTACTTAGGGACTAGAGGTAGGCTCAAGAGGAGGAAATGAACCAAGATAAATCATTGTTTGTAATCTCTCTTTCCTTATCTCTTTTTATTTCCAGCAACCTTAGTTTATGCTATATTTTAGTGTACAAAATTGAATTTGATATATTTACATGCATTTATTCAAACTTGCACTTAGAAATTGTTTCTAAACTTTCTTATACATATTGAGCTTGAAAAAATAGCTTTAGCATTCTTACACACAAAATTTAGAATTTAAATTTGCCTAACTTTTCTTTAAACACAGTTTTGCTAAAAAGGTTTCAAAAGAATCAAAAATTCCTTAAACACCCAATTCACCCCCTCTTGGGTGTGTTGCTATATCTAATAACACAAACACATTATCACATACCAATGTATCAGATGGCAAATTAAATCATTTCAAGCATTTATAATACAAATTTATTACACAAACTCTGATTGTATGGCTATAGCCACTACTACCCCTATCTTGAATCTTTCCCTTTGCCTTGCTCACTATCAAGACCTATAAAAATGTAACCATAGGGTAAGATAATCATCTCAGTAACAAAATAACTCATAACTACTAACTAACATGCATAACTATATACAAGTAAAGTCTATAGAGGATATATTTATAAATCTAATTTCATAAAACTATTTACACATTAAAGCATTTCCACTATCGTGATCATCTACCATCTGAACCTCTATATCACCTTGATTGAAACCATAGGCTCTACTAGGCTAATCATATAATCAATAACCTAAGCACACCTTTAGTAGTAGAATTACCTGGCCATGTTCTATCCCACCTTCAGATTATAGTTTCCCCCTTCACACACACTTATAATAGGAGTATCGTTGACTCTTAATCACATCCTTACGGGTAGTAGGGAGTTACCAAAATGCCTAAATGTCCTATGGTGCTAGCCCGACCATATGAATTTTTACTCACTCACATCTCCACACACACACATCCACACATACTCTAGGTGAACTCTTATCCTTTATGATCATGCTTTTCACACATACATTTTACTACTTCCACATAAATCATATATACATATCCAATTTCATCAAAAAATCATTTATAATCAAATAAATATTTCACAATGACTTTGATTCTAAAATCATGCACATTATAAACATTTACATCTAAAAAGTTCAACAAAATCACATTTCACATTCACTTATGCGCAATTATAATAGTTAACAAACATAACAAATTATATGGTTACCCAACCTTTTTATTCTAAATAAAGGTTACTCGTGTTACACTCTTTTACTCCAAGTTTCTTTCATTATTTTAACATTTCACACAAGAAAATCTACATAAAATTGTCATATGGAGTCAATTTTCCTATTGATCAAAAGTGCCCATTATAGC